AAGTCCACAAGACTTAAAGTCGCCAAGGTTGAGAAACACTGGTTTAAAGCATGAATTCAATCTTTTAAGTTAAGAGTACCAAGACTCTTCAAATGCAAGGCCCTTTTGTATTCTACAAGACATTGGTTTTGGATGTTGAAGAGTCCATCTAAGTTATTCATATCTTTAAAAATAGAGAACCAGAATTATGTAATAGAGTTGGAACTAGCAGTCTGTTAATTTAACATCTTCAGTGCAGAATCTATAATGGAGGTTTCAATTATAGCAATCCATTTTCTGCTTAAATATTTGCATCAGGTTGCTCCACTTTTGAGGAGTTCATTGCTATTAAGAGCTTCTAATTTTGCCACAGTCTGATTTCTAGTTTCCACACATTGTTCTACATTTTCTGATCTCTAGAGCAGAAGAAATCACAATGGTCCTGTAGATGTATCTTAAGCTGATATTCTTCTCACTGGTCTAATTCTATCCAGTTCTTCCAACCATTCCTTATAGGACTTCCGTTCAGGTTATTATCTGACTATGCACCAGGTTGTCCATGTTCTTCATAAAATGTGGTGATCAGAAGTGGTTACAGTAATCCAGATTTGTCAGAGATCAACTAACTAAGGAGGGGTTTGATCTTAGATATCTCCGTGCCAAATCTACCATCCTATTGACTGGATATTTCAAATGATCTATTTGGTTCCATTGTACCTGATCAGGCTTCAGCTCTGCAATATCCCCAACTACAAGACTTTCTATAAACTTCACCCTGTCTCTGCCAAACACTTTAGTCTGTAAGAGAGAGAGAAAGAGAGAAATGTTTTATTTCATCTAATCTGGAAGAAAGTCCATGACGTTATTACATGACATGTAGGGACAAGGGCAACATACTGAGACATAATTTCTGGGCCTACTTAGCATTTAAGAGTGTATGTGGTCAGTGGTATTCATAAAGGGTTTAATTAAGAGAATTTATGAAGCTGAGGGCTGAACTGTGGTATCCTTGATTACGGCATTGTTTTCTGCCCAAAAGGAAAAAATAAAAGTTATCTACAAAATACAGTGTAATGATTGTAACAGCTGCTGTGTAGGACAGACAGGTAGAAGACTAGCATCCCTGAACACTTAAGTAGCAGACAGAAGACAAGACGAAAACTGCTTAATCTCATAACGCATGGACAGACTCAGTCATATTTTCAACTGGGAAACTGGGCATCTTAGACAAAGTTAAATCCAAAAATGCTAGGGAATTCCTGAAAGTGATATACGGACAAATCAATCATCAATAGACAGAGATAAACCAATTTACACACTCTTCGAACAACACAATAAAAAAGCTAAGAAGGAAAGAAAAAGAGTGGAATACATCTCCAGCTGCCAATATGGTGTAATTGTGTAATTATTGTAATAAGCAATAATATGGGGCAATAAGGAGCTAAGGAGGGATTAACACCAAACAAAAAAACAATACACTAATAGTTGAGTTGAGTTTATTAGTCTTGTATGCCACCCACTCCCGAAGGACTCCGGGCGGCTTACAATAAAAAGGGAAAGGGGATAAATAAGGCAAAACAACAATTTAAAATATAACAACATTCATAGTTACCGTGGGGCTGGATACTTCAACAGCCCACCCACCCCCCGGCCTGCCGGAGCAGCCAGGACTTAGTGGCTTTACGGAAGGCCAGGAGGGTAGTGAGGGTACTACCACCCCCACCACCAACACTAGGGCAGGGAATGACAAAGGCAAACTATTGCATATAAACAAAGAGCAAAGCCCACTCACTAACATTGGTGATGTTATCTAATCAGGGAATGAAATCTCTGCAAGGAA